CCCTTGATGCCTTTTCCCGTCCCGATGCACGACGACAATTCATTTTCACAGAAATCCTTCTGATTTTATCGTTTCGGAGTAATCCAACCCCCACGAGACTTCGCGACGACAGTTCGACTCCGAGAAAAACCTCGGCCACGAAACGAGAGCCTCCCGTTCCGTCCGGGAGACTCAACCCTTGCAGCCAAAAATCCTCGGCCACGCCCCTCCTAGTACTCTGATCGGCGACCCCGTACGGGAAGCCGCGAGGGGGCGTGAGGTTGGTATCAGAGCTGATTCGTTTCGGCTCCGAGGTTTTCCTAGGACGATTGCCCTGTTTTAAAGTTTCTCCTTTTTCTTTTTGATCTTTTTACTGGAATTTCCGAATTTTTGAGTAGGCTGGCTCCCCGTCGACGGAGGCCCGCGAATAGCAATTAGAACCGAGCGAGGGGCCAGGCTCGAGACCCGGCTCCCGCGATGGTGGAACCCGGAATCGTGGGTGCAAACGACGACGACAACCACGCGGGGATGGCCAATCATCCCCTGTACTTTGTACCTCCTCCCTCCGAAGTTCCCATTTTTTCTGAGGATGACACCGATCCTCGCACCTGGCTAGCGGCCTTGAAAGCCCAGGGCTGGTCGGACCAGTTGCTCTGAGAACGAATCCCCGGAAGGTTAGCCGGAACCGCTTTTGAGTGGTACGGACAAAACCCCTTCATTAATTGGGCAGCCTTCCAAAGGAAATTTCTCGATAGATTTGATCACATCGCACCAGGTCAATGCCTTCGTTTAATCAAGGAATACACACAGCAGCCTCGGGAGACCTTGGCTAGATATGCTGAACGGTTTACGTACCTAGCCGAACGCTCCGGGGTGGATGAGAAAATGGTACGAACTGATTTCGTCAGAGGACTGTCAGATTCTCGTCTGCGGAAAAAGATCCGCAAGAAATGCAACCCTATAGAACATACCCTGACGGAGCTAATTCAGTACGCAATTAAGTACGGAAAGGAAAATTACGATGTGGGCCTGGACTCAGAATCCGATGAAGATGACCCTTCGGGCGTTCGACGCAATAGCTACTCCGCTACGACACGTATGTTCGAAGATCGCTTCGGGTTGGGTCCGGCAAAAAAAGGTTCGGATCGGAAAGCTTCCTCCTCTGCTTCGGCCTCCCGTCGCCCTAGTCAAACGCAAGGAGGCCGGGGCGAGGAAGAAGTATCCATGAAAGAGGTCGCGGCCCAACTAGTTACGGTAGTAGCCCCGTTGACGGAGTTTGTGCAAGGTCTGCAACGACAACGCATAGCCGCCGCACAACGGCAACAGGCAGCTATGGCTGTCGGAGCCCCTATGATAAGACTGGTCGTGGCCGGGGCTGTCCCACCCCTACGGTGTTATAACTGTAATCAGCCAGGCCACCTTGCGAAAGATTGTCCGAAACCCCGAACTCAGGGCGGTCCTACCGGACCTTCCCAAATCCCACTGGCTGCTCCCACCGCTGCAGGACAGGGGAGGGTAGCCACGGTAATGGACACACGAACGACGAAGATGGTGATCCCTGCGGCCACTGAGATAGGACCCGATGAGTATATGGCAGCAACGATG